TGCAACACTCCCATATACTCCCATAGTTGGGAAAATGCAGAAGTGACGCATCTCATGGGTCAACTGATAGTTCCAAACACTGAATAGTTCCACCATTGAACCCATTCATTTTCCTTGTTTCCCAAGCACATTCACCTGTAAGTCTATGGAATTACTGTTTCTTTTTACATTTTAAGGTATGAGTTGACCTCTCATTAATCTATTCAATCTAATATTTTGTGAAACCAGTTTTAGTTCTTGTTTATTGTAAGATAAAAACTAAAATATAGGCGCTCTTCTTACAAAATGAGTCTATTAGTTATTAGATGTTGTTTTAGTTAGCAACAATGGTGACGGTATTAATACACCAGATTTCAATTAATGATGCCTGACTTATGAAAGACAGTGCATGGTAGTAGTGTGGGAAAGATGTTTTGATCTGTTCCACTCTGAAGGCCCTCCACATTGCCTAATTTGGACTGCCCATGTCTGAAGCCCTATGGAAGCTGCGTTTGTGAAAAATGTCAAGGATGATTGACGAATGTTCTGCCCCGTTGATGGAATTGCCACCGTAGTGGTTAGCCACTACTTGTCTTGTTGTGCTCCCTGCCAACACAAGAAAACACATGACATAACATGCGTTGTTGCCCCTGTGTGGTTGGGTAAACACATCGGCATACAGCTTCCCTGTTCCCCGTTGCAGCTCGATGCTCGATGCTATTGCCATCTCATCCAGAGTCGGTGTACATTCTCTCTCCATCTCTGTCAGGCCATCTACCTTCAGCTTCAACACCTCCCCTAAAACTCCTGGTTCCATCTTTATGTGCTGCAGTCTACTCCAACCACCCCCCCCCCACACACACACACACACCCCAATCTCATGCCCCTCTTATCTTTATTCCATTGCTTTCATGTGATCTTCTGAAAAAAAAGCAACAATTTGTTTCCATGACCGACACTTTTTTTCTGTTGTTTTAGAGCTCCCTTTACCCTTCTTGTCGTATCTTTTTGTGTTTCTAGCTTCCTCAGGTCTTTCTCACTGGCTCCTGGCTCACTTGGGCCCTACCTGCATACAGGCTGCTGGCACACTTTGCCCCTGCATAGAGGCTGTTGGCACACTTTGCCCCTGCATACTGGCTGGCAATTTCAGTCAACCTTTAATTGTTTGTGAACTGCTCTTCCTAAATAAATGTGACTGCAGGGTCAAGTCTATTGTATTTATAGTTTCCAATCATAACGGAAGTTCACACACATTCAAGATATCTGCAGATATTCAGTGTGTGCAAAAATTGCCATTGCTGTATGTCCCACTTGAAAGCAGTCAATCAAACTGACAGCGCGCATTTGTTTGGACCTATTGGAAGCTATATGTGAATCAAGTTACTGCTTCGGTTCAAGACTCTCCTATTTAACAGCGCTGGCCATACCATAAGGCATACCCTGGCTTATCATCCATTCTGCTTGTCAATATACGGAGAGTAATACAGGCACATAGTGGACCCAATGCTTAATTTGAATACCTTTATTTTCTTCCTTCTTCTTCCGCTCATCTTAGACTCAAAGGTGAGCAGGGGGTTTGTTTTTAAGTGGACTGCCTTTTTTTAGATGTGAATTGGTGTGTGACAGCTTTGAAACCACCATTATCAGTTGGCTGGGCTTGTTACAGCTGAAAGGTTTATGACTTCAAACTCCCATGTCCTTCATGTATAAATACACTGCCTAGTTTATGTAATTTGCTGTCCGACAACTATAAATATTCCAGCCATAATTGTAGTTATTTGGTTTTATTCTTTAAAGCTAGCGAACACTTCTCCCATGTGACATTTTTATTCAAGCCAGAGCGTTATTTTGATAAGTTATAGCAGTCGGTGACAGCACAGACTGGTTGTTCTATCAGATAAAACACCACATCTGATTTAGATTTTAACCTGGAGAGAGGATGAAATGGGGTTGAAAGGCTCGGCACTGATAAGGGACCATTAGGAAAGTAAACAGTTCTCTACTCGTATTTTAAATACGCTTGCCAATCAGTTTTGTCCTTAATCATATTGTCGAAGTTATAATTATCATCGTCATTACGAATGTCTGGTCCAGTTTCTTATCTTACTTTGAAGCATTTGATGAAAGTCAGTTGAAGCACTGTGTACTCTGTGTGTTTTATCTGAGACACAGTTTGTTGTTTTGTGGCCACAATAGCCCAGATAGAGTCACAATGATTTTTGCAGGCGACTAAGGAGATAATTGACTTTGGCGAAAAAGTGTTTTTGTAAGTCATTTAAAGGAAAACGAATGTGAAAAAGGGCAGCTAGAGGGGGAGTTGGTAACAAGTTACATCAAATGATAACACAATAATTACGTAGAAAAACTTTTTTAACTAAATCATTTGTTTCTAAAACTCGTTATGAATGATATGTGTAATAATGAGTAGCTGCCTTGAAAATTAAAAAGCTTATCAAACCATGGTACCCTGTTCTTAACCCAAAATGTATTTAAAAACCTACACCTGAAAGATTTGTTGGTGAATGCACTTGTTTAATGCCTTGCTCTTTTGGGAACTTTTGTTTTTACTTGCCAACAGCACTTTAATGAAATGCATTTTTGATCTCAGCTAATTATCTATTTTATCCTAAAATACCCTTTAAAAGTTTAAAATAATGTGGCTGGATTGCAAAAAGAAAATGTTTTGAAAGTAGCATGTGCAATTAAAACAGTATACATTTAAATTTGTTTTTTTTGCCGCTGCCATGCAGCCACATGGCTGTACTATTTACAGTTTTTAATAATATTTAACTGGCATGTTTTACTGATAAGTGAAATGTACTTTGATATTTTGTTGTGCATCAGAGAGCTGTGATGTCCAAGGCAAATTTACCACTGGGACAATAAAGTTCATAATAAATAAAAGTTTCCTAAAGTTCTTCCCTTTCATTATTTCATAAAACAGAGTGAATGATGTTTTCTGATCGGTTAAGCAGCAGGAAAATCCACACGTCGTGCAGTTTTCTGATCTGTATTGAGTTTGAAAGTGCATGATGTTGACGGATGATTCAACTCATTGAAAGGGATAATATAGTTTTAACACCAGCTCTCTTTGATTTACATTTTTCTAGGCGTACAGTGGTCTTATTTTCCTTTTCTTTTTACAAAATATGATGGATATAATGGAGATCTGTATATCTCTTTCTGACATACACGGTTCTGCACCGTCACAATGTTGGACTCATAAACCTATCATTTGTCATCATTAATCCCCGGGGGTCTCTCTGTAAACTGGCTGCCCTTCTGTCTGCCCCTGGAGGTATTACATCACTCATAACTACCCTTGGTGTTTCAGCTATGACAAAAATTATGACCTTAATAAAGTTTGCTTTGTAGTATCTGCATGCATAAGCATTTTACAGCTGATACAAAAAGACTGTCTGTCTCTCTTTTAGGGCTCCTCTGGGCTGTCTCTTGGCAGGCAGCGGATGTCATCATGACAAATTGTGACCGAAAAGGCTTTAAGAATAAAGTCCAACAGGCCGGTTCAGAAGTGTCACTTGTCATTATTCTCCTAATGTAAAAATAGTAGGATCCTACATCATTTATGGTGCGATCACTCCCCTTGTTCTACAAGGACTCTTTGCATTCATCCCTTCAACAACTCATCAAAAACACAAAAATTATAGGAGCAGAATGTAATTGGTTGTGGATATTAAAATGCACCCAGATAGCTTGCATTCTTATGAGGCTGTAAAAAGTTCATTAAACTAAAAAGGCTTGACTAAGTCACAATCTCAGCGACAGTATAACATCACAGTTTGTCTTCAGTGACAGACATCAAAATCACAGGCCATCATTTAGATGAAGCGATGACTTGTATATTTTCAGAGTTCTGGCTCTGTTTTATTTTTTGGCCTATTGACATAAAAGCAAAGAGCCAGCTCTGTAGCTTCATTCTCATGATAAATCTTTCAGCAGGGAGAAGTGCAGATAAATGTGGCTGGTGTTTATCCAGTAGTAATGTTGCTGATAAATGTCAGAGTCCCACAACAAAAAAACTGCTGGTCTGCATGATCCTCAAGAATTGTTGTTTATGGCCCCCTGTTGGATGACAGGGAAATGTAGACGAAAATTCAGTATTAGTAGAAATATATTAACTTCTTATTATATGTTCCAAAGGATTGTGATTATTGTATGTTGTTTTCAGAATTAGATTTTAATATAAATGATCTTCTTTTGCCAACATTTATGACGTCCAAAGCTTAATACCTTTGCCCCCTCTCCCCTAAAAAATAAATAAAAAGGAAATAAATGAATACATTTGTCCTAAAAACATTTGCAGGGATAATGTGTATGCACTATATGGGTTCCAAAGTGTCTTTACAGGCTGAAGTAAATTACAATAAGTAATTTTAAAAACCACTGATCTATAAAGCTTAAAATAATACATTAAAAGCTCACTTCCAGATCACTTTCTGCCTTTTTTGTTTCATACAGTATCATAATATAAAAGTCCAATGAAACATTGTAATGTTTGTCGTACTCCTTTTCATGTTTTTTTGTTTTATTTTCAGAACAAATATATGTGCTGCAGCTTTTCTGCCCCCGGATCAGGCATGTATAGATGCTCATTGGAATACACATGGTTAAATAAAGTTAATGAACATGCATAATAAAAGTGAAACTAAAAGGTCTAAATCATGATTAACTGATGCTGAAGTTTGTCTGTATTTTTCCACTAGATTGTGGTATAATATTTTAAGGAATCCATTTGGAATTGCTCTGTTGTAGCCTCTGATCTATGAAAGTCTATAACACAAAAAAATATAAAGCTTCATCAAACGAAAGGAAAAGCCTATTGTGAATTTGAATGCAATAGACCGGTACATTTTTCAGCTCCGTGGTTTGCAATGTTTAGGTGAACTCTCGCACGAGTCCAGCTCAGGTTTTTCATCTCTCAGTGAGAATTGGAGGGGTGGGGCTTGTAATGCCCGCTGGCAGCGCTGAGGTTTGGATGCAAATATCGCGGCGTTGAAACTCTACTTGACTGAGTTGGATGCACTTCGACGCACAAAGTGGATTTAAAAAAAGCGCAACTCGCAGATGCTGCAGGGCGAACGCGAGTTTCAGACTGAAGACGAAGAAATGCAAAGTCTCAGTGATTCATGTCATCGGAAGATGAACTTTTGATGCATGTGATTTGTTTTGTGTTTTTTTACTGGAGGAATTAATTTGTAATCCACCGCACACTTTCTCTGTTTGTACATCCTCTGCACAGCCTGCACGGAAGTTGTCTCCATAGCTTGACAGATGTTAAATAAATAATGATTGGATGTGTTTTTAAAGGACTGCAGAGAAAGGTTGCAGGGGGTATCATGTAGGAGGAGTTCTTTGTGACCAAACAAGTAGAGGATTTTGCCCTTATAAAAAAGGACATTTCCCGATGAAGATCATTGTTCGGGGGAACAGCTGCAGAGGTAAGTTGATTCTCATCTAATGTTGTGTTATTATAAATATGGTTAGAACTTACTCTTCTTATATAGACGTATCTTACTTGTCATTAAACTTTTTAACATCACAGCAAATGTTGCCATTTGTTCATGTAAAGGTTAGTTTATTGTACCCTAAAGACGTTTTCGTTTTAATATATCATTATTATTCATTCTATTATTATTATTATTATTATTATTACTACTATAATTATTATTCTTTTTCTTATTATTATTATTCATGTTAGAATCCAAATGTACAAACTTGATCAATCCCTAAAAATGGACTCATTATTATTATTGGAGATAAAAGTTGAAATCAAAATATTTCATTTTCAGCCATAATCTGTGATGTGTGATGTTAACTTTTCTCCTTAAATTAATATTAAACTTATTCAGTTTGTATTATTTATTTAGCTATTTATTGAACCTAAGGAGTATAATAATTAGGATTCATTTTCACTTTTTATTTTGAAAGTTCTTTGTCCTGCAAACTCTAAATGGAAACTGAGGTTTTGTGTGGGATTACATTAACGTAGGCCTAGAGTGTTTTTTCCCCCCACTCAGTAGTATTGACTTTACATCATACTAATGCATACACACCCACAGGCCAACACCAGACTAGCTCCTTGACAGTATCTGGAGCTTCATAAATGTCAGCCTTCCCAGCGTCAGAGTGTCAGGCAGGGCGGGATGTAGAAAAACAACAGGACAGTGGTGTGACGGCAGAGATGCTGGACAGGGGACAGGTGGAGATCTGCACTTGATTTATTTCCTCCCTGAGGAGCAGTGCAATGCAAACAGCTGTACTCCAGGCTGGTGTGCGAGCCTGCAAGACCAAAAGCTGAACCGCGCTCAACTGAGCTGTGTAGGATCAACCCTCTGACTGCTGCTGGAGCGGTACAGGCTTTAGAGTGACATGAGAACATAAAAAGAGAGACAGAGAGAGAGCGAGATTCTGGTGGAAGAGGCCGACGATGATCTTGTTTCATCTGCTGCACATTTGACCTCTAACTGTCTGAGCTCTGAGGAAGTGATTAGCTAAATGTTTGAAACTTTTGTGGTTTCTGGTTGTGCAACCAGGTGATTCTCCACGCTCTGAGCTGGGCATATATCTAACAGATTAAGTTAAAAGTCTTTAGAGCATGGAGGCATAAATCAGCATTATAGTGATTCATGGGTCTACTTTTCTTACCACAGCCTCAGGCAGCATCTAATGTATTAATCTCTTCTTTCTGATGTCAATGTTCGTCTTCTGTTTCTATTCTAAGGGCTGGCAGAGTTGCCTTAATACTGGAGGTCATGGCTTGGATGTTAAAACCAGAGGCTTTATAAATATCAAAATCCATTTAACATGAACATTCTCAGTGATCCACAAATTCCTGTTGTTTTCCTCACTGCACACGCGAGCGGCCATATTTAGGGAGCGAAATGTGCTCCTTTAAAAGCCAGAATTTACCACGAAAATTCTACTTATGGACTCCATGTGGTAGATGGCACTTAAAAATAATTTCATTTTGAAAACAAGATGGTTTGAGGTTGCTGCAGGGCCACATGTTGCACAGAACAGGGAACTACGGGCTCCAACAATTTGGTCATGCCCGTGTGAGGATCAAGATGCTAAGACACATGAACTCGCAGTGAAACCTCTGAAGTCTGGGCCTGTTTAATCCGTATTTGCCTTCTGTTTGGTTGACTTGTTGAGTGTTGGATATGCTGCCTTTTAAACTCTCTGTGTGTGTGTGTGTGTGTGTGTGTGTGTGTGTGTGTGTGTGTGTGTGTGTGTGTGTGTGTGTGTGTGTGTGTGTGTGTGTGTGTGTGTGTGTGTGTGTGTGTGTGTAGAGGCTTTTTTAATGATCTTCATGCAGTCCTTACGTGTGCCTAAAAGCCTTTGAGTTCAGTCGTAGGCACAAAGTTCATCGACAGGTTGCCTCTGAGCTCAGAGTCTTGGCACCTTCAAGAGTTCAATAAATTCCCAGTGTGGGGGCTCCCTTTCAGTGCCTGAATAATTGATAGATCAAACTTAGGACTTACAAAGGAGGGCAATTTAATCTCCTGACTATTTGATGAGCCGGGCTTAGTTTCATTGGGCTCAGCTGAATGTGTGTGATGGCGAGAAAAGGGCTCGCAGTTAAACGGATGAGAGAGCAGGGACAGGGAGCTTTGAAAACATACAGGTGCCAAACGTCGCCTGACGAGACCACGGTTTGTGATGCTGCAAAGGGCCTCATACGCAGAGTTTAATAATCAGTTTCTCCCAGCCAAAAGCCCCATCTTGTCTGTAATATCTGCGTGCTGCGTGAGAGCCGACATGGATGAGCTGAGGTGGGCTTTTGGCAGGTTGCGCAGAGTTGTGGGAGTGCTGGGTTATGAAAGAGTCTCTGGCACCGGTCTTGAGTTACTCAGTGTTGGAAAGGTTGTATTCTGAGAGATCCAGAGACTTGGCATGTCCCATCCTCTCTGGTCATCACTCTCCCTTCGAGTCATCAACAGGTGCACGATTCCTTTGGCTCGTTCCTGTAAATATGACATACGCAGAGTGGTGTCTTTGACATAATAAGTCATTAAATGTTAAAAAGTAAATAAACGTACTGGTGATGAAGGATTTTTTTTTTTTAAAGGATAGGATGAATAATAGTAACCCTGTCATAAGGTGTAAGCAATGCTGTGGAATTGTAATGATTTGGAAAGAAAGTATTTTTTTTAAGGATATAAGTGTGAAGGAAAAGGAAATGAGGCGTCAACCGGCTTTGAGTGATGCGCACATTTACCAGCAGCTCAACTAAACAGCAAGTAGCTCAAAAGGTCAAATGATGTTGCATCAATGTTGCACAACAGTAAAACATATTTGTACTTCAGGACTCACGTTCTTACATTTGAGAGATAAATACAGCTTTACACGAGACAAGCTTTTTTTTTTATGATCAGGATAGAAAGATGTACTTTTTAACATTTGGGTTAGTTTGAAATAAAATGTTTTTATGTCATTAATGACATTTGTTATTCCCTGCATATTTCTGCCATCAAGCAAAACTCTTTCAGTGGATGCCTCAAAATATTTCTGGTCAGTCCTAGTAGAGAGAATAGGACGAAATCTCAAAGAAATTTCTGCCTTTTTTTGTTTTGTACGTTTTATGTTTGTATTTGTATTTATTGTGAGGCTGAAATGTCGCCTGCTGGAATGTTTAGACGCACCAAATGGCATTGTCCTTAGTGTGATTCAGGGCCACAAGCAACTCAACGGCCAAATATGGTCCTCTCTTTTCTTTATTGAGCTGCGAGGGAGGACCTCCCATTGCTCAGAAGCTAACGTGTTCTGTGTGTCCTCTTCACACAAGAGCTGTAAATACAGGCAGCGTATGACACTATCTAAAAAAGATCTCAACACCAAATATGACAAAAGGCCTTTGCTCTGAGCGTGTTGCCTTCCCAAAGAGAGAGAGAGAGAGAGAGAGAGAGAGAGTTGACTTCACACTGTGTAAGAGAATAATCATGCTCAATTCATTATGCTTGTCCAAATGTAGCTTAAATTGTCAGGAGAACAAAGTGCATGTGGCTTTTTTTTTTTTTTGTGTGTGTGATGTCTGATTGTGGCAACAGCAGAAAGATTGTTTGAATTACAATCATGAGTTCATTCAGATTACAGATAATACAGATTTTGAGTAATATGATATTTCATACTTCAAGACATTAGGAGAAATGATACACCATGGAGCTCTGGGTAAGATTAAATGTGAGTAGCATAGGTTTGTCAAAATGCCACCTCACATAGATTGGGACAACAGTCACTGTATTCATGCCATTTTTTTGGGATGTTGCAGATGCCATTTTCTATTGTAATGTTGTACTGCTGTTTCAGGCAGTAACCCTTAATTAAGGGTATTTGATGAGTGTTTCACAGCTTACTGTTTAATCAATGAATGAAAAGACCATGGAAATATCTGTGGGTGTCTCAAACTAAGACTAAATGATGGTCAATTCTGATTGGTCAGATTTGGCTTTTCATTGACTAATCGACGAATTCCTATTTTTTGTTATTCCCTCACTGATCTATATTCTCATGTTTTGAAACTATTTGTCTTCTGGACATGGAACAACAATTTATTTTGTGTATACAACTAGATCCATCCTTTTTCTCACTCATTAAAGGGGTCATATTTTGCTTTTTCTGGTTTTATATGCCCTTTAGTGGGATCTCCAAGTGTCCTGTGCCTGTTTAGGCACATCTATGTGCAAAAATTCAAAGTCCGCGGAAACGCAGCTTCTCCTACACGTTCTCCTGTTAGCTGCAGCATTAGCTGCATGTAAGGCTCGGTTCTAGCCCCCCTCGATAAAATTTTGCCAGTGTGACGTCTTGTCAGTGTGATATCACTGATATAAGCCCATTGGCTCGTTGTGGCAAGCCCAGCAGCTCATGTTGCAGGCCCATTAACTTCTGTAGCACGCTCTTTAAGTCTGCCTTTTGGCGACCTTATTACGATATTACACAAGCCTTTTATAATACACAATTGAAGATTTACTGAACTCTCCCCATTCCAACAAAAATGGTCCTGCTGCATCGACAAGGCTCCCACGATCCAAATCCAGTGAAAGATTTAATCCAAAAACCTTACATCCATGAAGATCCACCGGTTGCTTCAAATTTGCCACAGCTGTCCAGATTTCCCTACTGTATTTTCTGTAATAATTCATTTTGAATGAATTTCTTCAACCTCAATACATAAAAATGGCGGCCATGCTCTGACCTTTCCATTGACATCTCATTTGGCCAATTAGGATCTTCCACTTGCCAACCTAAAATAGCCAATGAGAGCCTGGCTTGAAAGTAGGCACATGCCCCTGTTCTGATGGATCTATACCTGGCCAATTGCCTACAACTGCGCCGATGACTGACTCTTCTTGTAGCCAATAAAATTACATATGCTGCTTCAATCTATAATTTAGGTGATTTTTTCATGCAAACACTAAGGAGAGATTGATTACATGTACAAGTTATTTTCAGAGGTGGAATAACAAGTTGATTTGATCTTTGGGCATTTATACCAAGATAGGCTATGAGTAATGGTTAATTTGGAGAAAAGAGACAATTCTATGCCAAACTGAACATGTAACATCCCCGTTTAGCTGGAATGGATGGATCCCGGTGTTCTAGTGTGAGATTGGCAGTCAAATGAGATGATGTTTCTCATGGTTATTGCTTGGACATTGTCCTTTTTCTAATGGGAAAAACATGCTGAAGAACAATTTCAAACTGTTGTGAAACCACCCCATTCACTTACTCACTGAGGGTTACATGAAAAAACTAAGAAGACTTTTACCACCTAAAATTTGTACAATATATTTTTAGCTCCAGCAGGCAGCCTGTTAGCTCGGTTTAGCATAACGACTGAAATAAAAGTATGACAACTTGCCTGGCTCTCTCCAAAGATAACACAATTTTCAGCACCTTAAAAGCTAAATATGTGTAGAAGCTGAAAGGTAAAATGTGTTAAATGTGTCTGGATATGTCTCTTAGCAGAGCACACCACCTTTTGGAGCCTCGTTGTAATCCTGAGGATGTTAGCCTATCAGCAGATCCTTCAGTTAGCCGGGGCACCAGTCCAAGAAACTGTTTAACAAACTCACCACACTAAAACGGCAACTTCTTGTTTTTACACCTAAAGTTTGTACTGATTAAACACACATGATATAACATGTTAATTAGTGAGCTTTATTGGTGTTTGTAGGCAGATTTTCGTCACCTTTGGACGGTGCTAGGTTGGCTGTTTCCCTCAGTAAACTAGTCTTTATGCTTACCTAAGCTTATGGGCGGCTGCCTTTAGCTTTTATTCATGCATGACATACAGCAGGTGTTTAGAGTCTCAGCTGTTTTTGCACGAGCATCATAATAATCTTTTGATCCTTGGGACCTTTTATGGGTGATGGGAACCACACCCATTCAAAAAAAAAAACTTTCATGTGAAAAAGAAATGGAAGAGACCACAGGTAAAGCAAAATATGATTACGGGATAAACATGCAGTATATGCCAATCTAACACAGATAACAGATTCATAGATATTGTAAAAAGAGTAGGCTGATGAGATTATATTACCAGAGGGATCAAATAAGTAATCAAGGATGTCACCAAATGGGCACGACCTGAGACTCACCATCTCCTCTCCAATCCTAGAATTCTCAGAGAGCCAGAGACAGATTATGAGAGGAGAGGTTGCATCCAGATCAATTGCTGGATGAGACACAAACAGCCAAATACAACCTTAAACTGTCAGAGTATTAAAGTTTGTGTATTTCTCCCTCTAACAGCCTTTCCTTAAATCCGTTCTCTATCTTTTTCTCATCTCTACATCCGTTCTTCTCATCAGGTCCTGGTACATGTGTTTTCACACATAGTCAGGAACTTGGATCCACCCTTTTTCAGTCTGCCAGCCCTCAATTTATTACCTCCTTAAAGCATCTTTAATAGGACACATGCTTTGAGCTTCGGCACTCTCTGACAGCGATCAATCAGCGCGTTCCCTGATTCCCCTGCCAGCCCACCCCGAGCTTCATGGGTTGAACCACCAGAAGTTCGTCAATCCTCCTCTGCATTCTCTCCTCCTCTTCATCCTCCGCTCAACCCCTCCAACCCAACCTCCTCTTTCAGTGATGGCTACTCGTGCCTTGGGCTTGTTTGGAATTGTAACTGCAACATCACCCTCCAGTACACAGACTTGCGTCCGCTGCAGCCTGGAGTGAGAGATCCCGAGAGACAGAGGAGGAGGGGTGAGAGAAAGGGAGACACAGACAGAGGAAGAGAGCAGTGCCACAAAGCAGAGAGAGAGAGAGGAAGGATCATAATCACAGTCACAGTTGCAAAGGGATCCACCTGTCCCACAGAGGAAGGGGCCCCCCCAACCTGATCCATCTGGTCGCAGGGGGGGACCCTGCGTGGCCGGGAAGGCAGCAGGGACTATGCAGCTGGGACTGGTGGCGCTGGCAATGGTCTTCCTCAGCTCCATGGGTCAAGGCGATTCTCTCAATCTCTCCAAGGCGAGAAGGCAGAGACGGGGTGAGTTCTCCCTTTTTCACAGCTTGTTTTTATCTCTTTTTTTTCTCCCTTCCCTCCTTTTCCTTTCTGTGCTCTGAGTCACGGTGGTGGATGTCTTATAAACATTTAACAAGCAAAGTAAAGATAACACGTTGTTTATTTTCTCATCACTCCTATTTGTTTTTCCTAGACGGGTTATGTTAGGTTCAGTGTTTCCCCTGCATGGCTCTTCTTTCTTCCTCCTTTTCAGATCATGCCTCTCTCAGTTTATGTAAAACTCTTATGGGTATTAGGGTTGTTTATAGAAGGGGGTTTTGATGGATTCACCCTCAAAGCCATCACTCTTTTTTGCGTCTGGCTCTGTAGGCACATAATGGACTGAGTACCTGACAGTTCTAAGCTCTCAATTGGACCGTGCTGCCGCTGTTGTTGTAAGCATTTTTCTGACCTCACGCAACCACAAAGATGGTGCTCAGGCCGAGCCGCGGTGTATCTCTGGCCCTCGGAGCCTCTGCGCTGGTGTTACTGTCAGCTTTGGAATAATTCTCTCTTTACACACGAGGAGCTTTCAGTCACTGCCAGCCTCAAACCCAACCTCTGTGAAGCAGAATTCATATAATACCATGACTGGCCACAGAAACAGATGTGCTGTTATTAAACTCGCACAAACTGCAACAGAAGAACTGTTTCTCACTGTTGGAGAAATAGTCTATTTGAATAGCATATACATTTTGATATAAATGCAGAGTGACTTTAAATGCTAGTGCAGATTCCAATGTTGCATTGTAATGTGGAGAGAAGGATTTAGGTCACTCGACATAAACATGAGCGCCATCTACAGCGTCATCAGATGTCATCCGATTTAGCGTTTTTCCTTTCAGGTTTGAAAACCTAATTTGTGATTTTTTTTTTTGTTTCTCCTCCCGTGGAAGAGAAATATTCAAACTGCACAAACTCTCTCTTTTTCACTCCAACACGTGTCATGAACAGTTTATAATACCATTTGAAGATTCATATACTCCCCTCTGCTGCGGTTACTCCCCAGGGCCCATTATTACTTTTTTTTTGTCAGTGATCGTGAGCAATAAGACCTGTCAGTAATTGCTGCATTTAGGGTTACCGTGACTCACAGATGGTGTAATTCTCTGTTCATGAGAGAAGCCTGTTAACGCTTTTACTGTGTGACTTATCTCTGGGAGGCAGGACGGCAGATGGATTGCCGTTTGTGAGGATTGTATATTTAGCGCTGATACAGTACAGGACCATAAATCAACTTAGATGACTGAGGTTTGGTCTGAGCGTGGCTCCTCGGAAAAGGATGTGCACTTCGACACACTTTTACTTGAAATGATTTAGATTACTGCTTGCATGCCTTTTCTCTTGTGTAGAAGAGGGAATTATAGCCATACCATAGTTTAAAAAAAAAATAATAATTCTAATCGAATTCATGTCTTTGAAATTATTTGTTAATTTCTAATTTTCGCCTTTTAAAAAAAATATCTATATTTTTATAAAACTGATGAATTTATATCCTCACTCTATAACTCTGCTTCCTTTTTGTTATTATTTCATTTTGTATACTTTATTATTCCCCCGGGGTCAAATTAAGGTTTACACTGTGTTATTGAGAGACATGCTACTCACACACCTACTGTAGGCCTTAAATATATGCATGCACAGGACCTGTGTAGATGCATCAATGGAGAGATACGTATCAGAGTGAGGGGGCTGCACACAGGGGGTGCCCCAAGCAGCTGGAGGTCCAGTGTCTTTTTGTCACAGGAAGTAAACTGGCACATCTCCAGCAACCAGTCTGATTTAAATATTTTTGTCCTTACCGGGACTTAGAGCCACAATCTTTCGGTTCCCAACCCAAGTCCCTACAGACTGAGCTACTGCCGCCCCTAGTACGGGGAGCACTTAGCATCTTCAAAGGCCTGTTTAAACAAAGGCAGTTATTTGTATACTGGTACGAGTATGCAATTACAAGAGAGCGACCTTTAAATGCATCTGCGAGGGATTTTCAGACTTATCAAAGGAGATTCTTCTGGTTTGGTGCCGTTTCCTTTACAACTTTTGACACAGGTAGTAATGGACTTTTTGCAAAGTCTATCAATATCACAGCTTTCAAATGCCCTGATCATTTTCTGACTGAGGCCATGGGTGATTTTTTTTTTGCTGACTGATTTCGACTGGCTCATAGTTGGCTGTCCTCTCAAATTACCCAGGTTTCTCCCAATAAAAATCTGTTAAGGATCTCCAGCAAGCAGTTTGAGGTAAACAGTGAGTAACTGCTCAAACAAAGATGTTTGGCCTGGCCCTCTGTTAGATGAAGCTGTAAGCATTAACCCCTGCTTCTAGGAGTGATAAAGTGCTGGCAGGTTTATGGCTGGATTTGTACACATGGCAGGAAAATCTGAAAGTTCCCTGTTGTTGTTGTTTTGAAAAATAACTTCCACATTTAAATCCAAACCTAGCTGGAAACTTTTTTTTATATGCTCTGTTTCCTTGACCTCCGCCTAACTCCTCCTTTCTTTCTTTTGATATTCCCACAGTTAGCACTGAGGGGCCTCCATCTTGCCCAAAAGGCTGTGAACGATGCTCGGAGTACAATGGCTGCATTAAGTGTAAGCCCAAGCTCTTCATCTTCCTCGAGCGCAACGACATCCGTCAGATCGGCGTGTGCCTCGCCTCCTGCCCCATGGGATACTTTGGCATGAGGAACCCAGAAGGCAACAACAGATGCACGCGTGAGTTTTTCGCTCTGAGTTTTCGAGACTCTTTTGACGAAGTGACATTGCAAAGTGCCACTGTGCACCAACTGCATGCATCATTGGGAACATTAGATTTGTAGATACACATCTGGAATAGTGCAAATACAAGCAGGCTCGAGTGAGGTCGTTGGCAGTGGCTCGCTCTGTACAAATCCACACAGCTGATGTTAAATCAAGCCAGCATTGTAACTGATCTGTTTATCTTTGGCTTCTCATCTCCTGTTTATGTACAAAATTGTGGTTTTCGACAAAGCAGAGGGATATCCTGCTAGTTTCATTGTGTTGTGCAAGACCTAAAATATGAGTGCAGCAAAATAGGGAGCCTACGACAATCAGTATTCTCCTCTTGTGACACTTTAATTCTCCCGTTATCTTTTGTTTGTAATCATCCTGTGCTACTACTTTCATGTTTGTAAGCGAATGAGATCAACCTCTAACTACAGAATAACCACTAAAGAGATGTAAGCAGTAGATGACAAAAGTGGCAGTAAATTAAAGTGACTACTTGTTGAAATCGCGCTGCTGTTGCCACTTATCACTTTGGAAAAAAGACACAAAAATATGCAACAACTCCAGGAAAGTATTTGCTAAACTGAAGGAAAGTCATTATGTCTAATTGGACTGATCTTTATTATGTTTAGAAGTAGGTTTGGCTCTTTTGAAATGTTGTTAAAGTGTTGCCACAGTCACTGGATGTTACTCAGTAGGTTCCTGTATTTTTTTTTTTCTTGACGAGCGCAAACCTCTCCGTCTGATGTCTGTTTTCCCTTACGTGTAGGCAAAAAAAAAAAAAAAAAAAGGATTGGAACAAAATTCCAGAAAAACATTTCTAATGCGTTGTTGTTTGTCTGTTTTTGAGACGATGTCTGTGTTTTTTATTCAGTCCTTATGTGTGGGGTTCAAGCCAGGCCACAACCCATGTTTGTTATGTTTTCACTTTTACACATTTTATCTTATCCTATCTAACTGATCAAATACAGTCGGTCTCTCAAGTAACTACGCTAAAGGTGTATATGAATGGGAGCAGGCCGGAGCTAATGATTATTCTTAGCACAGTCATAACATTTTTGTATTAATAATCAATATTTTTTACTCAAGTTTATTGAAACTTATAGCTGTAGGATATGTGGTTGGTATCAATATCCACCAGCACGTTATGGCTTTCTGTAACAGACAGAATAATGCAGAATATGACCCCACAGTCCTAACTCAAATAATATCTGTCATATATGTTAAATCATGTTTTCTCTCCAAAGCAGAGGAAACTCATAAATCTGGTTATGGTCGATGTGGTATTTCAAAGGTTTGAACTTCCAGATTTAGAGTTTAAAATCAGGAGCTGTAGCATTTTGGAGCTTTCTTATTTTGATCCCTGTGATTTAATTACCTTTTACTGAGAGGCAAACAGTGCAATCTGTATCCCATTATATACTTACTCAAATCATTTAATTGAGACATTTATTTTCTTCTCGTGCTGATGGTTTCTGTTTTATGTCTTTGGGTTTTTTTCATGTTTTTTTTTTAATCCAAATATTTGATCAACTGTTGAATTATTTCAGTTCTTGTTTGCTCTTAAAAGTACTGAACCCTTAAAGGCTCAGGTAAGACAAAAACAAAAAGCCATTTGCAAATCATGCATGGATTTTCAATCTGTGTGCACGGTTCTCTTTTTTTCTTTTAAGATATATTTTTGGGCTTTTGCCTTTATTTAGATAGGACAGTGGATAGAGTAGGAATGAAATGCAGGAAAGGAGTCGAGAGTGGGACTTGAACCTGGGCCGTCCGCATGAAGTGCTATAGCCTCTGTGAATTGGGCTCGACCTCGCTATAGGTAGTCTGTGCCCAGTGGGTATGTAAATTGTGTCCACAGATTGCAAATCACATCCCTCAAATTATAAACCATGAGCACGGGATGTAAGCCGATGGAATAGATTTGCACACAGCTTTTCATTTTTTGCTTCCCTGGGCCTTGTGGGGCTTTGTGTGAAAGTTCTAAATTCAGAAGTACTTATCAATGAAGACCTAAAGTGGCTATTATCTTATCTAGTTTTTATCTGACCACGAGAGCCTCATTAAGATCAAACGCATCTTATACGAGTGTGTCCTGGCCATGACAGGCATAACTATTATTTAATAATCTAACTTTATAAATATCAGCCCAGAATGTCTTCTTTGTAACATTTATCTTGCTTTATAGGTCGGCTAACTGTCAAAATAGTAATTTTGAGCAGGAGGCACAAACTTTATGACCCTAGTGAGGATTCAGTGTTAGATAATTTCTGAGCTTGGCCTTGGACAAGTTGCAGAGTATTTGTTGTTAAGTAAGTTTGGTTTACACTTAGCTTTAAACATGAAAAAACATGTTGAGAAATATCAACAGGCATTTCCAGATTCTCATCCTTCTCCTTCTCCTCTGTTTATCCTGAGAAAAGTGCATTTCAAGATGAGACCAAAGCTTTCTGGAGCAGTTTAACATGTCTGGTTTATAGCCTCCTGTGTTTGCAATTATCCAAATGTGTTTGTTTGACTGGACAGTTTTAATGAGTCTGAGGTGCAGAGAAAGCCATACACTGCTTGCTGCTCTCATTCACACCCACTTTCCAAAGAAAAAAGGCCTGCGGTGCATGTGTTTTTAAGAGACCCTCTCTTAACAGCCCCCATGCTGTTTAATCACTAATAAATCTCCTGGAGAAATACAATTCAAGTTCTTCTTGTCTAATCCTCGTAGAATAACTTTTTTTTTTACAGGCAAACATGCAATGATTGTTCCATCAAAAGAACAGATATGTCTGTTTCATGTCTAAACATCATGTGATGAACCCATGTGGCAGCTGATGTGATCCTTTCATTTGACTTTATCTTTTTGTCTCCCCTGTGTCTTTCAGAATGTAAAATAGAGAATTGTGAAGCCTGTTTCAATCGCAATTTTTGCACAAAATGTAAGGACGGCTTGTATTCACACAGTGGGCGATGTTATGTCAGCTGCCCTCCAGACCAGCGCACCGCCAATGATACCATGGAGTGTGTCGGTGAGTGACCTTCACGTTCCACATTCACATCACTGTTTACTGATTTCAGACTTTGTGCTTCTCGTAAAAGCCCTTTTAATGAACCACAAAGTATCACCTCAGGAGCTTCTTCTGTTGACAATAACTGTTGAATTAATCCGTTTTTTCTTTCTCTTTTCCTTCATTTCATTGTCTTTTATGTTGTTGAAAGTATTTCTTTCATACGTTAGAAGCAGCAGCAGCATTAACAGCATTAACAAGGGGACTTCTCGGCTAACTGTGGCAAAGACTTGTTGAAAATTACATTTCTGTATCAGCTGTTATAGATTTAACATGAGAACTAGCCCTTTTACACAGTCAGGTTCATAGAAACCTTCTCAAATTACCTTTAACTAGTCAAAAGGAAACTGAAAAAAGCTTAAATTGCTTTCATGTTTTGCAAATCACTTAACCTCATTATTCTGAGCTTTTAAAAGCAGACAGAAAGGCTGCAAAAAAGCTGTTTACCGTTCGCTCATTACCTCATTACCTCAGCTTATGTCACTTTTCTTTTTTTACCTAGGTCAGCGTCCTGCAGAGTGTGAACTAGGCGAGTGGGGCCAGTGGGGATCTTGTACGAAGAAGAACAAAACATGTGGATTTAAAAAAGGCTCCCAGTCTCGGGTTCGCTTGCCCGTCCTGCCTGTCCACAGCCCGGACACCTCGCCGGCTTTTGTGCCCTCGCAGACCTGCGCACCTCAGACAGAAAGGAGGAAGTGCATCGTGCCCAAGACGCCCTGTGTGAGAGGTAAACACAGATACGTTACAGAGGAAATGACTCAAAATTTTAAAGAAGTTCAGCGCTCGGTTTGTAGACAAACAGGCAATAAAGTCCATGTGCTTCATGAAATCCCTCCACCAGTTAGCATGATGACTGATGGAAGCATTACTCAACATCCAAAGGCCTTGTATTCCCGCCAGTGCGTCTTTGACCCACAGCGTGTTGATTGGGTTTGGTTTGGCGGAGCTCTCAGAAGGATACAGAATCTCTTGACTTCTCAGCATGTAAACAATAAACTGCGACTATGAGCCAAGCAGATGAAGGGCGGGCATTACGCACCGCAAAGCTGGACAAGGATCAGAGCCGGAGAGAGCTATTTGTTCTGAGGACCGCTCAAGCGTGAGGTTTACACGGCCATGACATGTTTGCTTGGGCTCTTATCGTCTCCACGGCAGCTTGCTCTCCAGCAGGTTTAACAGTCTTTCTCGCCAGTCAGTGGCCATTATCAACTCTCATAACAGCTCATTAGTCGATCTTGGCCTCTTTTGCAGCTAAGGCTAATAAATGACGGATTTGGCCAATTGGTCCAGAGTGTACTGGAGTGCAACAAAACAGCAACCATCCTGCTTATTTGCCTTTAAACATTCAGTCCGTAGCAGTGAAGGTATCAAATATTTAAAAGCGGTGGCAATGGGATAATAAATCTTCCAAAAAGTGGAGATAAGATATGATAGAAGCTGCATTTTTCCTATTGAAATGAAAAAGATTTATTGATGAATGAAAGTCCTTAGCAATCTTTGTATCTACATGTCACCTTACGCTAATCTGTTTGGCTTAATGTGCGAATTTTAACCCAAATTGTTCCATGTGTTCTTATTTACAAGAGCTAAGTGTGCTGTAAACGAGCAGCATTTTAAGCCTTTATTAGACAGTGGCACGCTTTGGGGATTTCTGCACAGCAGCAACCTTGCGTAACAATATTCTTTGCACAGTTTTGGGCGACTGTACAGATGTTGCAACGTGATATGCCCAGATATTTTTTTTCAAGCAAACACGGAAGAGGCTTACTTTTTCAAGCAGCGTCCTCTACTCTGGAACATTTCCTTTCGGGGGGGGGATGAGTCTAAAGAACTGAACATGATCTGACATTGTCCCATATAGATCTGCGGTCATGTCTGGAGGAAAAGAGGCCGAAGTGGGTTGTCATTGGTTGGTGGTCGGTCCTTAGTCTGACTGGATGTTACAGCATAATTAGAGAAATGAGAAGCGAATTTATTCTCTCTGACGTCTGCATCGTGGAAAGAATTTCAACTTGAGTAATTAACAGTGAAATATTATGAACTATCTTATAAACACTGCTGTGTAGATTGCCAAACTTCTTCTCTTGGAGGAAGTGTATCTCATATCAAGAAAGTCATAAAGCTGTGTTGTCTGTTGCCATTAAGGAGATTTTTAAGTTCAACCATCCCTGTTTTCAGATGCTAAACATTTAAGCGTGAACATAAAGCTCATACTTTTGCCAAAATGCAAAGGGGTTGAACTTTCCTCGCTGATGTCATCCTTGGGTGATGGGACCATGACTCCCGTGAACCGGTTCATGCGGGTGAATTAGCTCTGTGCAAAAGAGCGCAGCTGTAGATTCATCTGTGGGAGTTGGCTGGCAGGCGGGCTATATAAAACACAGGGGGCAGACCTTGTATAACATCAGTGATTTAGTGGTCTGCAGATCTCACGCTTTGTGTTGATTTGGCTGCAAATTTTCTCCCCCTTCCCCCCCCCTTTTTTTTTTTTTCCTGAAGCTCCACAAAAGGGTCTCATGCGAAAACAGAATTTTCTGGATGTGTTATTGCATTTGTCAGGCAAAAGTGTTTAGCTTGGATGGAGAGGCCGTACAATCAGAGCTGTCATAAAACTGATGGAGTCCCCCTCTCTTGGCTCCACTTGTGATTTGTTAGAGGTGTAATTAAGCCCTTACACAGTTAGCACATCAGCACAGATGTCGTTAAGTGTTTGTTAGGACCCTTCACTTCCCATACTCTCTCTCATTGTGTCTCACTGATATAAATGAACTATTACTGCTCAGTATTAACTCCCTGTGCAAGTAGTGCCCATAAAATCTCATAAATATGTTCCATGATTGTAGCGAACACATAAAAGATGAACACGCTGTTCCATATAATCATCCTGTTAATTGAACCAGCTCACAAAATGATGTCAGAAGTAATGTTCTCTTGATTGTGACACTAATATCTCTGCAAGAAAAGATGGCTTTTTCATGTTTGTGAACTACTGTGTGGGACTGCGCCTTCTGACTGTCATCAGAGCACATTGTGGCTATGCAAGGGCCTGCGGTGAATAAATGTTTTTTTGTTAGGTCTGTCCACATTCAACTATATCGAATCCATTTCATCACCGTATAATGATTTTCACTGGCTGCGTGGAGGCATGTTTTCAATGAAATTCGAGAAGCGTCCTACCTTTGGACTTGTTGGTTTTTTTTGCTTTGCATTTAAACCAAAGAATCATAACTGTTAGTACAGCGAGTTTAAAAAAATGCTTTTAGAGAAATAAACACAGACCTACAGTTATTATTGCATTGCAGTAGACAAACACGGTGGCGCCATAAGCCCCGCTGTTGTCAACTGTGCAGTGAACACTGTCCAGTGCTTGGCATGTGTTCACTCAGTTTCCAGGATGTGCGGAGACTCTCGACGCACTAGCTCATAACAAACATCCTCCAGCGTAACTACACTCCTTTAAATATACAAAACCCAATACTTTGAGTGCTGCCTAAACAATAGCCATCTGACACTAGTAAAGATGTCCATTTCTACTTTGTGACAGCTCTCCACATCCTCACGGGCCATTATTGGACCCTTGACAATGTTTAACTCATTAAGCTAGAAGTGATCTGAAGTGATTCATATGACAGATAATTGTGTCACTTGACTTTACTGGGTGCTCTTAAAACTCATGCATGTGTTCAATTTTGATATCCACAGCAGAGCTAAGTTTTTATCCCCTGATAAAACAGAACAGTTTTTTATTAGGATTTTTACCACATTTTGCTTGATGTTTCTATTTAGACAGCCATTATAGGCTACTCTTAACAGCATGACTGCTAATGTTAGCACACAAGGGATGGGGAAATGAGACAGTCGAATGTTTGTGTTCAGCAAGAAATTATTAGAAATGAGTCACTGTTTCAAATGATATTTACAAAATTTCCACAGTCGATTTTTGCACGTCCAAACAGGCTATAGGAACAGCATGTCTTTGAGCTAAATGCTAATATCAGAATGCTAACACCATCATTGTGTTCAAGCTAACAGATGTTGCAAAAGTACAGACATTATTCTCTTAGGTAAAAGTACTTTTATGTTATACTCTGGTATAGTCCCGGACGCAGATAGCCTAGCGGTTATGTAGCGCTTTATGTTCCAAGGCCTTAGTCTGCCAAGCTGGAGGACCGGGTCTTTCCCACATGCAATTCTCCACTCTCCCTGGTTTCCTACTTTATACACTGCAGTGTTTCCCTGCCTCCCTTGAAGGTCAAGTAAAAAAAATATATATATATTATTTTTTGGGGGCTTTTTGTGCCTTTATTGTAGGGATAGTATAGTGGATAGATTCGGAAATCAGGGAAAGAAGTCATTTACCTTTCCGATAGAAAAGGACAGCTGTCATTAAAAGTAACGCATGAACATCAAGATTCATACCAAGTGTTTGTGTTGGCGTGTGTGTCGTGTCCCCCCCCCCCCCCCCCCCAACGCTGTAAACCTAGGAGAAACACTGCACTGTCCTATCCTATAAAGACAAAAAAACAAACAAAAATACTACTTTTCTGAAGAGAAAGTGAAAAGGTTGAGATTCTGAAATATACTCAGTAAAAGCGAAAAACATCTCTTTGAATTAAATTTCTATTGGCTGTTTCTGTGTTTGCTAACTGAACCTCACACATTCTGGAGCTGTTAAACTTAGACCTAACCTCAGGTACATCTCAGCATGGAAACCTTTTAGAATGAGCCCTTAACATAAAGTCAGTAAAGCTGATGAGTTTAATTTTGTTCACACATCAAAGATGTTAAAAAAATTACACTTATATAGCCTGACCTTGTGGTAGCATTGGATAAAAGGCTATACAGGATCATCAAAATTACAAAAGTTGACCCTTAGTGGAACACTAAGATTGGTGTTGATTTGCCAGGCAGGCAATACATCAAGTTAACAACCTCTGGGGAGAATGAATATCTGAGCAAAATACTATGGACAACTGATCAGATGTTAAAATGTTTAGAGACCACTTAACCAACCAAATGAATATCAGAAAAACAGATATTCAGATGTCCAAATATCTTTTGTTCTATTACTGAAGGTGTGGTTATAATTGTTGAAAATTTGCAGAACCGGAAACAGACATCTTTTATCATCCTCTCTCATCCCTCAGGAATCCAGATTTTTAACTTTGTTTAACCAAGAGAAAACATTTATACACACATCATCCGATGATGACAGATATCTTGCGTGACTTTATTTGAGAAACAGGACAAACTATTAATCATGAATTTTTTTATGCTTTGTCATTTCAGAGCGGAAGAATAAGGGAGACCGGCAAGATGACCCAAACAGAAGAGAGCGGGAGAATTTGCGCGGGCGAGGAGGAGGAGGAGGAGGAGGAGGAGGAGGAGGGGGAGGGGAGGAGGGGCAGGAGGAGGAGCAGGAGGAGCAGGAGGAACAGGAGGAGGAGGAGGAGGAGGAGGAGGAGGAGGAGGAGGAGGAGGGGGAAGAGGAGAAGAGGCCAGAGCCGAACCACCGCCACTCCCCCCAGCAACACAACAAGCTTCTTCTCCTAAACTCCACGGCCTGCTGGATGGAGCCGAGAGGACAGAAACGATGATACAGGTCATAGTGGTGAAGGAAAAGGATAAATGCTGCTATGCATTGCAGAAGATGCAAAGAGAACTGGAGGAGGATTGCTGCAAAGGAAAGGCTTCTCTGAGCTTTTTGAAAAGCTGAACATATCGTGGAGATACTGGTGTTACAGTCAGTAAGACTTGAGGGATCATTGGACCGTAAAACCTCTGTTGAAGACTGTGTTTGGACATGGTTTACGGCACTAAAAGACTTGTATCACATCTCTTAAGTGAAAACAAATACAAGAGTTCCTAATGCAGCACAAAGACAGAAAGGCCGATTACGAATGAAGACGGCAGACCTTATTTTAATCCCAATTTGTCTTCATTTGTTTTGTGAGATGGATTTTTTTTCAACAGCCGCTTTACGTGACATAAAGACAATGACAAGCAAAGGCTGTTGTACCTTTATTTCCTATTGTGAGTTATAAAAATTTAAAAAAAGAAAGGCACTGGAAACCATTTGTGGTTGTTGAGGACAGAAGGTCTTCTGTGTATTATTTTGAGAAGGGAGTCTTATGACAAAACAAGCCGAAGAGGAGACGCAGAGGAGGATTACTGGGAGCTCCTTCTCTGGTGTCTTTACACAAACTCTTGCCATTTGATAGCTTATTGTTTGTTTCAAATTCGATGTTAGTGTTTGTAACTCTGCACAGAAAAGGAAGAGTAAAAAACATGATTATTTGCATGTGTACGAGGCTGCATGTGCGTGCCTCTGTGCATGCAAACGTGTGTGTGTGTGTGTGTGTGCGCGTGTGTGTGTGTGTGTGTGTTTGTCCCTACCTAAGTGTTTGTACTTTGTATGCATTTCTGCACGGAATCCTGTTGTGTGTCGACAGAACTTAGATGTTTGTACATGTGTGTTTACGTTTGCACATGTGTGTTAAAATTGCTCTCATAGAATGAAGGAATAGGATCTGAAACCAGAGGAAGGAAATGTAAATCCACAGTGATATATCAAATATGCAGTAACTACAAGCCACTGATTATTATACAAGCCATACAGTCATCTGCTGCTCAGTAAGCGTGTCTGTTCGCAACAGGGTCTGAAGATTTTGCACAACTTTAATGTTTCCTACTGCTCGAGTTTCAGAACAGTCACAGCATCTTACATGTTTATTCTATCAAAGCTGGCTTTCATGACATTGATGCAGAGAAATGTGCTTGTTTTTTTTCAAGAACTTTTCTTTTGTGGGTCTGTTTGCTTCACACAAGGTATTCGCTTCAGAAGGAGTCACATGTTACATTAATCATGCATACTATGGATTGTGATACTGAATATGTCCAGCTGTGCTTATCCTCATCAAAAGAAAGAAATATTAGTATCATCATGTATAGCTTATCCTGTGAAGGCCGAAATAAAGTTCAGATGAAGCTGATGAAACTTCGGTCATACACTGACTTTTATACTTGTTTCTTTATTTCAGATGGAATGACTTCTGTGTGCAATAGATCCATTATTTTTATTTTTATAATCTGCTTCAGCCGTTTTTATAGTCCATACCATAAACAGAATATACAAATGGACAGTGTGCCTCAGCCTCCTCCCATTGAACAGGATGAAGTCAGAATATCCCCATGACCAGCACTGACATATTGCAAAATTTGGAACCAGAGTCTGCGCAATAGGGATTGTCTTGATGAGCCCTGGTTTTGAGGCCATGTCGCAAAAAAGCAGACTTGCAGATATTAAACATAAGGATAAAATGGCAAAAATCCTGGAGATGGGTACACTCCTCAGCGGAACAGATTCTTGTGTCGGTTTGAAGCTTAATGACTTTTGTGTTGGTGTTGGTTATGTTTTTTCTCCCTGTTTTTGCTGTCTTCTGCTAATCAGATGCACAAAGGAGCAAAATTTGTCAACAGAGCTGTCAATCACAGAATGATACCACTTTATGGCATGAAATCACTAATTAAAAATAAACTTCATCTGAAAAAGACTTGAACAGAAAATGGCGTGAGAATAACACAGGAGGTGGGGTTCATGGCCTATACTGAAGCCAGTCAGCAGGGGGAGCTCTAAATCCTTTGGCTTCACTCCCAGGTGGCAGTTGCTCCGTCCATCTTAATATTCAGTCTATAAGTATTCAAGTTTTATTGGTTCTTATAATGACTACAATTTTGCAGATATTTTTTTCTGTCCTGTAACTTGGAGTTATTCTTAATTTAATTATTTAAATATGTTTAGCTTCAACTTCTATTTTGTATTCCTCTCACTAACTTGATAGCTGTGTCTTTGAAATGTCTGCAACAGTACAAGAAACACAAGAAATGACTCAACCATAAAGGGTTTAAACAAACCACCAGGATTAATAAAACTAGTAAGACAATAAAACTTGTTTTGTTTGACAAAACAAACAAAACAAAGACAAGCTGTTGTTTTGTTGTTAAGTCCTCCACATGGTGTTCAAACAATCCCAGACAGCGTGAGGACAAATGAGCAGGGATAAAGCATCAACAAACAACTCAATTAAAAATACATAAAAATGAAATAAACGGCAGTAACAAAAGAACCCAAAAATACTGTTACCAACAAATACAGTGATTTAGATCATTTAGATTAAGTTGTTTGGAACTTGGCTGAAAAGATCTCATTGTACTAATGTTGCAATATTCTCAGCACTAACCGAACCAACAACTCAACTTCATTACACAAAGAATATTGATCTGCCAATGCTAAATGAAAAGGGAAAGCATTCTTGACTAATTGGTCTTATTTTCATTAGTTCCAGATTTTTTTTTCAAAGCAGGCCTAATGTGATTATTTCTTGTGCAAAGTTTGTACAACTTAGTGTCCTAATTCTTGTTTTTTGACCTGACATCTGGGTGTTTCGGTGCAATCAGTCTCCAGCCCTGAGCCCTCAGTAGTCATGTCCTATATCTCAAACTGAAGGAGGCCATCTTGGGTGGTGGAAGAGCTCTGATGGTGTGATGGTCCCGATCAGCGGCCAAATGCTGGCGCCCAGGAGGGGGTCGTAAAAGCAGAGACAGAAATAAAAATTAATGGTGTGTCATAGCCAGAAGGGAGGGGGTATACCATGCCTTGGACCTACAACAAAACAGCCGTTTCTCATTACCAAAAGGGAGGGCAGGGGGAATGGTAGAGTATGCACCGTAAATTACACATTCATCGCTCTTCCTGACCATAAATTCTTACCCTGGCTCCATTGGACGGGGCTCTCCCTCACCTCCCACTCTCCCTTTTTACTCTCCCTCATGTTCCCCACTCCCATGTTTTCCAAGAGAAATGAATGGTAAATCTTTGGAGTATATGGGTGACCTTTGATTTGCCAAGATCCATAACACTGAATGATTTCATTACTTTAGTTTGGCCTTGAAGCCGGACCCCAGGGAGAGTGTAACGACAACAGAGAACACCCAGTACACGTCGGCCTGACTTACACGCACAATCCCTGATCCAAATGTAAACAAAGCGATACCACCACAGTACCAAAACTTCCAATCAGGGAGTGAAGTCACTTTTTCACTGACTGACATGTTTTTGAAATCAAAAATGATTTATGGAGGTATTAATGGTTTTAATGCAGTTTAGGGTCTTTGAGAAACAAAAAATTTAACTCAAAGGATACATTTTATTTATTTAGATGAAGTGACCAACCATTGCATTAGGTAATACTGATAGGCAATATGGTGAAATCTTTATGACTCAAAAATCATTGTGGTTTCCCTTGTTCATAATGATGTTGAGAAACAAACAAATAATTTATAATAGGCCTATTAAATAAAAAAAAAAGTACACTTTGGTAAGGTAATTTGTCCACGAGAAACAACTTTTTCAATCATGACATTGTGTTGTAAATAATTACACATTTGTGGAGCACAAAAGCTTAATGCAGATTTTCCAAGTTCAGGGTGAACCTGCAGGACTTGAGATATTTAGCAGAGGGATTTGGTTGGGTCCAGTGGTCCAGTTCAGCAGAGATGTTATGTAAGATGATGAACGTCGTCTAGTGAGGGATTTATAGATAAAAAAAAAAGATTCAATCAACCATCTATCCAACTTTGTGATACAGAATACAATGACGAGTGTAACAAGGATCTCCACATTATGTATCTAAGAGCAATTTATTCAAACCTTGGCATTATTTAACCAGGAAAAATCTCTTTTTCAAGAGTTTCCTGGTCAACACAGTGAGCAGCACAGTTAAAAAAGTTTCTGGCAAACAATGAGCAGTCGTACTCATAAACGTACAAGATGCATTACTATTACAATACTATTTATACATCAAAAAGACAGGAAATCACACCAGCAAAAATGGGTCAAGGTCGCCCACTACCATTTATTTATCAGGCAGAGCATCTCTACAGCGTGATGTGTATGATCTCCAACATCCTCTTAAAAGCATCCAATGAGAGCATCTCATTTAGTTTTAGTTCTTTTGGAATTCATTCTAAGTAAAGGGCTCAGAAAACTTAAACACCTTTTTTAAGGAAAAGAAGAAAATCCAGTCCATACAGTATATGATTAATTCAAAAAGACAACACTGAACATTATTAAGGTTAACTCTTAGCCCTGCCGTCCATGAATGAAGGATCTATGTACTTGTAGTTTGTTTGAACCAGTGTTACTTTAAAACAGTAAATGCTGAAGAAAAAGAGACGTAATATATATTTTATAACCATTGAAAAACACCCTTAATGCTTATTTGCCCAAAAATAAATCAGAACATTTAAGCTGAAAAATCTTTGCCTTGCACAGGATAATCCAGTCACCTCAGATGACCTGTGTTGTGTCACAGTTGGATATGCACGAATCTTAAAAATCCCCCACAGGTTTTAAACGTAAGTCTTATTTTCTGAAAATCTGACCATGTAAACATGTCTGACTCACATCGCCTGTGAGAGCACCCTGTCAGGTTGCAACAAAATTCCCTCTCTCATGTTTTCCAGTTCCATTTAACGCACAGCATCACCGAGATAACTCTTGCAGAAATCTTCCTAAGATGTTCTGTCATCAGCCCGGCGAATAAGAGGTCTGGGCTACATTAGGTCACTGGAGTCTCCAACTGAGTCACCAGTGACCGCCAGCAGCATCTCGCTGGTCTCCTCCCCTCCCAGTTCTGTTGTTTCCAGCTCTTTAAACATCAGCCTTCAGAGATGTCCTGTCAGCATTCCCACTGATCCATGATAAATCCCATTTCTAAACTCCACAACCACCCTCTCTCGTGGCGCAAGATCTGAGCGGTCGAATCTGGAAATCTACAAAGAGAAAATGTCCTCTTCGATTCAAAAATACTCCAACGAATTGTACATCAGCGCTGACAGACCGGCATGTTTCTATCAGCCGCAGATATCTATTATATCTAGAAGGACTGCTAAATCAAAATAACAAAACTATTTCATGTCTTTGGGAAGCCAACCCTCTTTGTGAAGTTGCATCTGATGATAGTTAAAAGACATAAGTCACTAATGATACAAATCATATCTGAGGCATCAGGGTGGTGTAGTGAGTACACATTTGGCAAACCTGGCTTCATTGTTAAAGCCAGATGTTTAAAGAGTCCTTGAGAGATTCACTGAATTCCTGCAGTATCATCTGAAGTGTCTGCACTTTATATTTTCTTTCTCAAAAAGCAAGCTTAAGACCCAGGGTATGCACATGATAAACAACTCATTTAAGGATGTATAGCTTCTATTTATAAAGCTTGTTTTAACCCAAATGTGTATTAAGTTGAGTGAAGGGTCATTGAGTCCAGATACAGAGCAGAAATTTTTTTAAAAATCGAAATAATACTATAATTGATATGTACTGCCCTCTTTTGGAATTAGACAGAACTACATGGGAAGAAAACCAGAATTTCTTTAACACTGTGGAGTAAAGGATGTGTGCTGATCTGTGTGCACGCATGTTTAAAGGAATAGCAAAAGGAAAAAGAGGCGATATGTAACTATAATAGACTGTAAATATTAAGGTAATTATCTTTGCTGTGAATTTCACATGATTTAGTTTAAATAATGGTGGGTTGGCGGGTCAATTAGGGGACTACCAGTGCATTGAATTCAGCAGATCTGCAAAGATCCTATCAAACTATACATCAAAATAGAAAGAGTAGGGGGTGCGCGTGCCCCATGTGAAGCTACTTGTGTCCTTGGGAGGTCTCCTCAGTTTGATCCGCATCATGTGATTCTAAACCAGGCCTGTCTTTTCAACATTTAGTATATCTTTTACTTGTATCCCTTTGGGTTTCTGTAGTACACAAGATGTACTGACTTGAACTATATGCGGTAAAGGATTAAATCAGCAGTGTGTCACAGTAATAGTTGATGGGGAGAATCAGCAGTTTTGTGGTAAGTTTTATGTACAAAAGGTAAATATGTGGTTAATTGTTCTTTACGTAAATAGTATCATCTTGCAGATTATGATATCTTAAATTTGTGTTGGTGGAAAATTGCAATGACACAACGAACAACATGACCTCAAGAGGGAGCCAAAGACAAACTATACACATCCACTTCCTGCAAATCCGACTTCAAGCATTGAACCATTCTAATATGAAACTGAGGCTTAAGGTTTTCTGGACTACTCTTCAGATCGTTATAAGGCATGCATAATAAAGCAATCCAAACGAGTAGAACAAGGCTTGTTAAAAGAGTTTGGACTGAACGTTTTTGGACGAGGACAGAGAGCTGTAAAGGAGAAAGGAGAAAAGAGAAAATACAATAAAGATAATGAATTCAATCATGTAATTTTTTGCTGGTTCTGATTCTAAACATATTTTTCATGGTTACAAAAGGAGAATTTTCCCCTTCCCCAGTGTACCAAACAAAACCAGTCCCAATCTCAGTCACAAAAATCTATATTTACGCCCACATGTTTTTCCATCTGTGACAGTGGGCTTCTGCTGCTGTCCTTGTTGAACTTCTGATAATAGACATGTGACTGTAATGTCTGACTGTCATTCTATGCATGCCTTCAGAG